CTAAGTCTACCCGGACATAAACATGATTTTAGCTACGTACAGACACTCGTCACCTCATGCATACGTAGCATCCACAACTAGTAGCAAATAATAATTTAAGCACCTACGGGGATAATTCCCTCTTACAAGATTAGGCAAGAGACATACCTTACTTCCAAGTCCACTTATTGGCCCTCAACCACACTAATAGCCTCAAATTAACGTTGAGGGTCTATTGGAAACAGCCTCTCTATCCTCACAATGTAGGGGTAAGGTCTGTGTACACACTACCCTCTCCAGACCCCACGGTGTGGGATATTACTGGGTATGTTGTTGTTGTTGTTGTTGTAGTCAAAAGTCGTACAAATTAATCAATATATACTCAAACGTTCATACTTCATTTGTTAAAGTAATTTCTCAATCAAATTCGGAAAGTTCCTAAAATTCACCCCCGGGCCCACATGCCCGCATTTCAGAAATTTTCGTAGATAAATATTATCCATGGCCTTACGAACTCAAATATATAATTTTTACTCAATTCCTTAATTAATTTCGTGGTCAAATCTCATTTTTACTAAACTCTAGGTTTTTCAACATAATCCCATAATTTCTACAATTTCTATGTTAAAATCTACCCATAATCTATGTATCAAACTCACATTAGGTAGAAATCCCTTATCTTAAAATGCTAGATGAAAATCTCTTTCCAAGAAGCTCCAATTTCGGCCAAGAGAAGTCAGAAATGAAAAAAATAGCCTAAGTCCCGACTTTTAAAATGTTACTGCCTAGTGATTCCTTCTTCGCAATCACGAAAGAAGACTCGCGATCGCAAAGGCAGAGCTACCCATCTCCCCAAAAGTCTTATTTGCGAATGCGCTCAGGTCATTACGATCACGAAGGCTAGCCCGGCAAACGAATCGCGAATGTGGCCAGCCCTTCGCGAACACAAAGGGCAACGTCCTGCTGACCCCCCACATTCCCAATTTCTCCTATGCGAACACGAGCCTTCAATCGCGAACACAAAAGTCACTGATCCTAAGCCTTCATGAATGTGACCCCACGATCGCGAACGCGAAGCAAAGAAATGCCTCAACCCCAAATCCTTAATCGCGAATGCGAGGCAACCTCCGCGTTTGCAAAAAACGAAACCAGTAGTACCCGCAAAATCTTCAGTTTGGACTTAGCTCAGAGTGGTCCGAAACACATCCGAGCCACCTGGAACCCCGTCCAAATGCACCAAGAAGTTCATAAAAATTATACGGACATACTCGAAGTCTCGGAATATATTAAACAACATCTAAGCCAAGAATCGCACCTCAAAATCAAATTATTCAATTTTTGAACTTCAAACTTCTTCCAACTAGCTCTGAATGCGACGAATCATACTNCATTCTTTCTTGTAATTTATTTTACTGTCACCACTCAAAATCTAACTAGTCATGATGACACCTAACCCAATCCGCCAGGTAAGCCAGTTTAACAATAATCCAACTTCAAATGAGATTTACTGAGAAAATATTGATGAAATAATTGAACTTTTATACAACTTCCCAAGGACTGATAGTAAAAATTATGAGCTTCTAAGATTTAGAGTTTACAAAGTTGGTATGAAATAAATACATCATCTGTTCGAAATATACATAAACAGATTCATAAATCTAAAGCTACCAAGAATAAGAGACAGCTATAACCGGAACGCAGGTACATCTTCAATGTCAGCTCCTGCCACACACACCAACATCAGCTCCAAAATCTGCACGCAAGGTGTAGAAGTGTAGTATGAGTACAACTGACCCCATGTGCTCAATAAGTAACAATCCTAACCTTAGGTTGAAAGCAGTGACGAGCTTGAACAACGGTCAGGGTCCAACACCAATAGCCAAGAACAACTCATAACAATATAATAAAAGCAGTACAAGAAACAACTCAAAGATATGATGCTCAGCTCGTTCACTGTTACGAAAAAATAAACATGCTTTCAAGTATAACAGTGAAACCGAAATCTTTCATCGAAATTACCAAAATATGAGTAAATCAGAAGATTGTGATTTTTTCCCAAAAACCTTCGACCACAGATAATATATTTCATTCTCGGATGGCCTGAGGAAAGTACATCTCTATGTCTACATGTCAATGTGCATATGAAATCATGAATGTCACAAAACTATGTAGCATGAGGAAATGCATATCTATGCACGTATGTCAAGTATTCATGTCGAATATAATGCATCACAGTGATGAGCTCATATACTCACACTCTCAGAGTACTTAATCTCACTGTCTTGCACTCCCACTTATCACGCTTATTCACTCAGCGTTGTACAGTGCCTGCGCTCAATGCTGGTACGTCAGACTCTGGAGGGGAGGATCCAACCCCAGCACTAATAAAACATGTTGCGGGCCGCAACCCGATCCCATCAAGAATCAATAATAACTTTTGTGGCGTGCAACCCGATCCCATTATGAATCAATAAAACTTGCTGCGGCGTACAACCCAATCCCATCAATATCACTCACAATTAGGCCCTCGGCCTTACTCAGACATCAAACTCTCCAGTCTCTTAGCTCACAAGACTCGTGCCAATTGGCCCAAAATAATGATACATGATGTAACAATAAATGATGACAGAGACTAAGATACGATATGCAAATGATGAATGCGATTGAGTACATAACTATAATTTAAGCAAATAATTCAAACAACAAAAATGACCTATGTGGGTCCCAACAGTATCAACATATAGCCTAAACATGATTTCTAATATGAATCACAGCTCAATTTTTCTAACACATGGAGAATACATGAATAATAACAAGATTAGATAACTACACAATTCCACGAAATCCACCAAGTCATAATTACTATGGTGCACATACACACGCCCGCCATCTAGCATGTGCGTCACCTCAACACCAACCACATAACACGTATTTTAGAAATTTATACCCTCAGCACCAAGTTTAGAAGTGTTACTTACCTCGAACAAGCCGAATTCAATACCAAGCAAGCTAGACATATTCTAGAAAGTCCATCTCGCACGTATCAACCTCCGAACGACTCAAAACTATCCAAAAGCAACTCAAAAACATTAAATAATGCCTAAAGAAACAATTTCAAATGATAAGGGTCGAGTCTTTACAAATTTACTCAATTCAACCAAATGACAAACAATTTCATTTTCTGAAAACTAGACACCAAGAGCTACAACTTTTATTTTTGAATCATCTCCAAATTCCTTATAGATTGAAAGATATAAGCTTCCCAAATCGGCTTAGTGACATCATAATTTCTTCTTCGCGAACACAAAGCTTTCTTCGCGAACGCAATTCACAGGCCCTTTTTCCCATTTTGCTCTTCGCGAACTTGACCCAAAGTCCGCGATTACGATGCACACTATTGTAGCCAAAAATCAGCAACTAAAATAGGCCTAAAAATGGTCTGAAACCTCCCTGAAACTCACCTGAGCCCCTCGGGATCCGTCCGAACAAACCAACAAGTCTCAAAACATATTACAGACTTACTCGGGGCCTCAAATCACACATATTAACATCAAAATCATAAATTGTCGATCAAGGTCAATCTCTTAAGTTCACAAACTTCTAACTTCGAACCAAGCGTCCGATTCAAGCCTAATCAATCCGGAATAAATCCAAATTTTTTGCATACAAGTTTCAAATAACATAACGAACCTATTCCAACTCCCGGAACAACAATTCGAACCCGATATCATCAAAGTCAACTCTCGATCAAACTTGTGAACATTCCAAACCTTCAAATTTTCAAATTTTGCAAATAGTGCTGAAACCTTCTAGAAACACCCAAATACAAATCCGAGCATACGCTAAAGTCCAAAATTACCATTCGGACCTAACGGAACCATCAAAACTCCGTTCCGGGGTCAAATACCCAAAAATCAAACTTGGTCAACTCTTCCAACTGAAAGTTTCAACAATGAAATTCATTCTTTCAAACTAATTCCGAATCACCCAAAAACCGAAACCGATGATACACACAAGTCGTAATACATCATACGGAGCTACTCATATCCTAAACCATCGAGCGAAGTACAAATATTCGAAACAACCGATCGGGTTGTTACATTTACAGTCTACAAGAACTTGATATGTATCTTTCAATTCTCTTAGCGAAATGAAAAAAGAAAATGAGGTACTTAAGCTCGAAAATGACGAACAAAAGAAGCTCCTTGAGAAACTGCTCAAGGAGATTGCCCAATTGAAAACAAAGGTAAGCTTTTATCTCATCTATATTCAATTTTAAAATGCTACGTAGATAACTTTATCTTTTTTTCTTTTGCAGCATGAAAAGCTGTAGTCAAGTTTTGGCCCTAGAAACATCGACTGAGATTCCATATATAGAGTGAAAAATATTCCTAAGATAAACTTGTTGTAGCTCTCTCTTTCTAGATGAGAATTTTCTCTTATAAGTTACCTAATTATCTTCAAATTCTAGTGCTATCGTGTTTCTCGTAATCCTACCTCTGTTGAAATCTATTATAGTTTTTTCATTAAATCAGTCTGCACCTATATAAACGTGTGAAAAAAATATGTTTGGAATTCATGGTAGGATTTAATAAACCGAAAGAAACAAATATGTTCATACTAATTTTACTACTAAAAAAATGAATGACAAATTAAAAAGAAACAATTACGGGAAAGTATTAAGAAGATCATTGTTAGAAATTGATTTGAAAGTGATATTATGTTTATCATTACAAAGTTTAACATTCTTGGGTGAATTAAAGTAAAAAAATAAAAACTCACATTTTGAGCCCTTAGTTTCAGAAAATTACTTAATCATTTCGTCTAATAGTACCTGATTTAGGAGTTCCCCGGCAAACAATAATACTTCTTTGGTACGTCAAAAATTAATGTTAATTACAAAGTCCAATCATTGGGAGTGGAGATAGAAGTCAAGGTTCGGCGTAACCCAAAAGCCTTTACTCAAACATGTATTTGTATCAACAAATTCATTAAATATATACACATTATATATTTAGAACTCAGTTATTAACATTCAAAGCCATCACTTTGATATCATCTGAATCCGTATAGTTGAAATCCTTGCTTCGCCTTTGCCAATCGTAGGACTTGCAAGTTAATTACAACCATTTTATTCAAGAGAAATAAACCAGTTGGCTGGGACATACGCCGGTGGCGGATCCAGAATTTTAAAGTCATCTTGCTAATAAAAAATTCGAAAGAAGAGGGAAAATAAATTTAGTTGTGGATGCTCACTCGATATTTATCTAAATATTTTTATAATTACCTATACAAATTTACTAAATTTGGTCAAAACACAAGTTTTCATGTGGATCCGCCACTGAGTCGCACGACAAAAAATTTTATAAACTAAACCAGTTTGCATTGTCAATCTGTATAATTCCTATTTATTAGAAAAACTAAGGTTACAATAAAAGAAAACAAAAGGTAAATGAAATGGATTTGTGGAAAAGATCGGTTTTTTTTGAATTTAGGCCAATTTGCAGGCTAGATGAAATGAAAGATGAGAATCAAAGCGATAAAGTTTTGATCATTTTGCTTTTCTCTAATTTATCTACAGTGCATTTTTTCCAGCCGCAAAAAGGTACTAAAATTCTTCTTCATTATCCTTGGAATAAATGTAAAAATTTTATCTTCACCAATTGAAAGATTGCAAGCTATGTTATATTTTACAAAAGCTTTCTGCATACTACGTACTGCCTATAGACTTGGTCCGAAACAGAAACTTATACAGCAATGTAGCAAAAGGTAGAGATATTTGTGGTCACTTGTTACAAAAATATGATTCCATTTCTTGCATTCAACCCACAATTGTGACCACGTTCAATCCAAAATCCTCTTTCCATTGTTTTCTTGTTTAAAAAATATTACTATGTCAAAACTACCCTTGTTTGCCACATGAATTATATTCTTTGGCTTCTTGATCTATATATAGGTTCGAATCCATAGAGCAACATATCATTTGGAATGGAAGATTAATTAGAAGAGTCAGGTTTCCTCTAGAGTTCTCCTGAATCACTTCATTGGGATGTAAAAAATGCCCTTAAATTGAAAGGGTATTAATTATTAATGCCTACTGAAGTGTTTGGGGGAACTCCGGGAGCCACCTGATATTTATCATAATTTTATTATCTTGTTATATATTCTGAGAGTTTAACAAAATTTATAGGGGTCCTGTAATTTTGAAGAGAGCTTAGTCTATATATGCTACTCAGCTCACTGTATTTCTCTAGAATATTGTTGTTATTTTCCCTAATGTTGTATCTATACTGATTTCTTTTTCTTTTTAACCGGATTTTTTAGCTAGGTCTTATAACAACAACAACAACAACAAACCCAGTTTGATCCCATAAATAGGGTCTGGGGAGGGTAATGTGTACGCAGACCTTACTCTTACCTCATAGAGATAGAGAGGTTGTTTCTGATAGACCCTCGGCTCAAGGAACAATGAAGATAAAGCAACCAAGTAACAAAGAATATTAGCAATAATGTAATATGGTAACGGGCATGAATGTCACGACATGCATAATAAAGAACCATAAATAGAAAATTACAAAAATAGTCCTAGTACTACTGAATGGCCTAGGAGGAACACACTACTATCTGTCAACCTACAACCCTAATCCTCGACCTCCACACCTTCCTATCGTGGGTCATGTCCTTGGTAAGCTGAAGCAATAATATGTCCTGCCTAATTACCTCTCCCCAATACTTCTTAGGCCTATCCCTTCCCTTCCTCAGACCCGCCATAGACAACCTCTCATACCTCCTCACCGGAGCATCTATGTCTCTTCTCTTCACATGCCCGAACCATCTCAGCCTCGATTCCCGCAACTTGTCCCCCACAGATGTCACTCCTACCTTGTCCCTAATAACCTTATTCCTAATCCTGTCTTTCCTAGTATGCCCACACATCCATCTTAACATCCTCATTTCCGCTACTTTCATCTTCTTGATGGGCCAACACTCAACTCCATACAACATAGTCGGTCTAATCAACTCTCTATAGAACTTGCCCTTAAGTGCAGGTGGCATATTCCTATCACACAAAACCCCCGAGGCGAGCCTCCATCTCATCCACCCCGCTCCAATACGATGAGTAACATCCTCGTCAATCTCCTTGTTGCCTTGAATAATAGACCCAAGATACTTAAAACTATCTCTTTTAGGGATGACCTGAGTACCAATCCTCACTTCCACTTCTTCTTCATGCATCCCCTCACTGAACTTGTGTAATGACCCAACCGGTCATTTTAACTTTTAGATCCCCGTTCCCTAAAATAAAACTTCCCGTATGTGCTTTTAATGATTTATGACTTGCGAGGATGGTTGGTTCGGGATTTGGAAGTGTTTGAGTTGAAATCGGAACGCTTGGTTCCTTAAGATGGCTTTAAGAGGCCAAGTTTGACTTCGGTCAATATTTTGCAGAAACGACCCCCTAAATAGAATTTTGACAATTCCAATAGCTCTGTATGGTAATTTTGGACTTAGGAGCGTGTTCAGAATTGTATTTGAAAGTCCGTAGTTAAATTAGGCTTGAAATGGCTAAAATAGGAATTTAAGTTTGGAAGTTTGATCGGGGAGTTGACTTTTTGATATCGGAGTCGGAATCCAGTTACGAAAATTGGCATAACTCTATTATGTTATTTATGACTTGTGTGAAAAATTTGAGGTCAATCGGACTTGAATTGATAGGTTTTGGTACATAATGTAGAAGTTGGAAATCTTAAGTTTAATTAAGCTTGAATTGGGGGATGATTCGTGGTTTTAGCATTGTTTGGTGTGATTTGATGGTTCAACTAAGTTCGTATGATATTTTGGGACTTGTTGGTATAATTGGTCGAGGTCCCGAAGGGCTCGGGTGAGTTTCGGACGACTAACGGATCACTATTGGACTTTGGAACACTACTCGTATTTTCTTCTGATTTTCTTATACGCGATCGCATAAGTTGGTCTACGATCATGTATAGTAATTTAGGCAGAGGTAGATTTGTTCTACGCGATTGCGCGAATGGGGTTGCGATCGCGTAGGGTTAATTTGGGCAGCTAGGAATTTGTTCACTGCGATCGCGTGGACACGTCCGCGATCGCGTAGGATTGGCCAGTGTGTGTATCGCGATCGCGTGTCATTGTTTGCGATCGTGTAAGGGAAATTTGAGAGGAAGCTGGGCCATGTGTTTGTGCTACACGATCGCGTGAAGAGGGATGCGATCGCGTAGAGTCAGAACCTGGTGCATCGCGATCGCAGGGGACTTGATGCGATCGCATAGGGTTAATGTTTGGGCAGAAATATTTGTGCTACGCGATCGCGTGAGGAAGTTCGCGATCGCGTAGAAGAAATCACTGGGCAGAGAGTTTAAGTTCTGAAAATGGGAATTTTCCAATTTTAACGATTTGGAGCTCGGATTTAGGCGATTTTTGGGAGAGTTTTAGTGAAAACAACGGGGTAAGTGTTCTTAACTCAATATTGGTTAAATTACCCGAATCCATCACTATTCATGCACTTTCTCTTTTGCACGAGTAGACTGATAGGGTATTAGATTGGCTAGAGCTCCTCTACCGACCCAATTATCCTACCAAAAGATGCAACCACCACTCTGAATTCTCCATATCAAATTCATCCCTGCCTTTAATTTTCATCAGTTTTCCCCAAGCATGAGATTGTTTGGACCCATTGGCCTTAGCAACTGGATGAGCTCTAGAACAGTACTTTGCCTTCAAGAATGAAGCCTAAAGTGACTGTTGAGTTCTCAACTTCCACCATCTTTTGTAAGCAAAAGAATCACTTACATCCTCTAACTTTCTTATCCATATACCCCCTTCTTCTTTGGTATAACATAGGTTGTTCCGGGAGCTCCAATGGTACTTTTATTTTTCATTACTAGACCCCCAAAAGAAACTAGCAAAATGCATCTCAATTAGCTTGAAGGTTCCCTTTGGAGGGTCCATTGCCGCCAAAGTATAAGAGGGAATAGCTTGTAAAACATGTTTAATCAACGTGACCTTGCCTCCACAAGAAAGAAGTTTATTTAGCCACCCATTAATTCTCTTAGTGATCTTAGTGAGGAGATCATTAAAGAATTCCAATTTCTTTCTTCCAACATAAAGTGGAACACCTATATAAGTAAATGGGAATTGTTTGTGCTTGAAACTAGAGTTATAAATCATTCTATCAATCCTAGATATGGAAGTATTTGAAGCAGTGCAAAAGAAGCTCTTTTCTTGATTTACCTGTTGACCTGAGCTTTTCTCTTGCAACCTAACTTGCTTCATCACCAGTTTAATTGACCTCCCTTTTCCACCACAGAAGAAGACAGTGTCATCGGCATAAGCTAAATGATTTAGCTTAGGCCCCCTCTTAGGCATAGAAAAAAGTACAAACTCAGGCACTTGTTATAGATTATTCAGCATTCTAGAAAGCACTTCAGATCCTAGGATAGAAAGTGAAGGAGATAAAGGATCCCCTTGTTTTAGCCCTTAAGAAGAAGTGAAAAAGCCTTTCCTAGAACCATTGATGATAATGGAATACCAAATTTCAGAGATCAATCTTCTTACAGCCTCCACTCACCAATTAGAGAAGCCAAACTTTCTTAGAACTGCCATCAAGAAATTCCAATCAAGTTTGTCGTATGCTTTAGCCATATCAAGTTTGATCACCATATTACCTCCCTTATTAGCTTGAGGGATTCCATGTATTAGCTCCTGAGCAAGTAACACATTATCAGTAATTAGTCTTCCTTTTACAAACCTGTGAACACCTAATTTTTGACTATATTTGAAATTTTACCACCTTCTATTATGTAATTACTTTTAAAAATTTAATATATATTGTTTTAGCTTTGTTACATTTTTTTTATATAGGGTAAGAATTAAAAATAATTTAAAAGGTCAAATTATTACTATCAGTATTATTTTTATTTTTTATCTTTATTTTTAAATAAAATAAATTTTAAAAAAACCGAAAAAATTAAATATTTTTTTTAATTTTCGGATGGGAATAAAATAATAGAAAAATTAAAAGTATGGAATAAAAAAAGTAAAAGTAAAAGTAGGTGGAAATTATTTTTTAAATAAATGTAAAAAAATGCGAAAATTTAAAAAATAAAAAGTAAAAGAAGTTGGAATTAAAACATAAAAGTAAAGGTAGCTGAAATTATTTTTTTTAAAAGTAAAATAAAGTAGAAATTAGAAAAAAGAGAAGTAAGATAAGTGGAAATTAAAAAAAAATAAGTGGAAAATAATCAAAAAAAGAACAGTAAAAAGTGGGAAATTAAAAAACGAAAAGTAATGAAAAGTGGGGAATTATTTTGTTTTTTTTAAAAAGAAGAAAAATGGAAAGTGGGAATTCTTTTTAATTAAAAAATAATAAAATAATAAAAATAAATCTGAAAAAAATTTGATTTTTTTCTATAAATAGAAGAGAAATGTGAGGAGAGAGGAGGAGGGAGAAGGAGAAAAAAAGAAAGGAGGAGGGAATTGAGAGAAATTATTTTTCTTCTTCTACGCTAAGGGAATTTCTACTCGTGTCATTCTTTCTTCGTCTTTCTTTCAAAAAATCCAGCAAGTCATCACCCAAAAACCAACAAAATACTTCATAACATCCCTTTTTACACGCCAAAAAGTGGAGTCAATAGTCGAGGTCGAGACTTCCGTTGGAGCTCTGTTCACTAGGTTTGATGTTATTCGTCGCTTATGCTTGTTTGATGTTTGTCTGAGTTATTGTACCTGTTCTTGGAGACTCATTTAATTGAAAATTTTGCATTAAAGGTTTATTCTTCCCTCTGTTCTTTTTATCTTATTTCATGTAATTTTATTTATTTGTCTTTAAACTTTATAAATTATAATGTAAGTTAGTCCTTAAATTAATCATGTTTTTGGAAATATGGTATTCAAACTTGCTTTAAAATTGGGAAGATTTGGACCATAATGAGTTTGGGCTTCAATTGTTGGGTTGTAGGGTATTGGTATATGATGGTTTATTTATTCAAATATCTAAAATCATACACTTCTTCCACAAATAATTCCATAATTCATGGCCTTCATAATAATCTCAAACTTAGGAAAGAAACAAATCATGAATGCGCTAGAATGCTTTAGGCGTACTCATAATTAATTTAATCATCGTGATTATGTATACGTTCGCATGACATAATGTCACGACCTAAAAATTCCACCACAAGCGTCGTGATGGCACTTAGTCTCTAAGACTAAGTAAGCCGATTATAATCATAATTCAAGCCATTTTCTTTTAAAGATATTATTTAACACACGTGTCGAAACCAAAAGTGGAAATAATTTTAAAAACCTCTCAAGACTGGTAGTACTGGGTCACGAACTCTAATTAAATACATGAAAGAATCGCAAGTATCGAATACTCAATACTGTTTGAATAATAAATAACAGTACAATAAAATGGAAAGACTCCAAGGAACTGCGTCGACCAAGCAGCTCTACCTTGAATCCTTGCGATCCCACTCTAACTCTGTCCGAGTTCGATATCTACAATACCTGGCTCTGCACAAAAAATGTGCAGAAGTGTAGTATGAGTACACCATGGTCGGTACCCAGTAAGTATCAAGACTAACCTCAGTGGAGTAGAGACGAGGTACAATCAAGACACTCACTAATCTAATAACCTGTGCAATATGATATACAAAATAATAGAAAATAAATAACAGTGATAGCAACACAAATCAACTAGTGATTTAAACAGCAAGGCAACAGGAATACTGTAAAATATTACTCAAACGAATAATAAACACAGGTACAACCAATTAATCAAGTCCTTTCAATATACATCTTTTATCTATAAGTTTTTCAATAAAAGTCTCTAGAATATAATCATTTTCAATAAATATATTTCGAATATACTTCCTTCAAATAAATATCCTTCCATTATAATTCTTTCAAATAAATATCTTTCGAATATAATTCTTT